TGGCGGTAAGATCATCTCTCTACGATTAATATTGGCGAAGTTACGTTACAATAAAGTTTTAAGTATAATTCTGGCTAAAATTATGTTAATTTTTGGCCGGAATTATGATATACAAATATAAGAAATTTTTTATATAGTCACATCTCTTTATAATCACCAAATATGGACTGTCCCAAATGTGTGACTATAAAGAGAGTTGACTGTACCTGACAAATCTTTAGCGTTAGGTTTCAAAAAATGAGAAAAGTTAGTTTTTTTAATATTTATTTAACTTGACTGTCACATTAATATTGACGTGAAAAATCTGATAATACAGAAAATTTATTATTGTTGATCAAATCTCATATGTGACTTTAACATGATAGATATCTTTAATAAATCAAAAAACATTAATCTAAGTTTAGTAGTTAGGCCACGCAAACTAATATTTTACCCGGCCGGGTCACTTTTTCAAAATTTGACCAAAAAATTTTTATATGTAAAATTTTTTTTTCACGTGATTTCAAGTGATTTTATTGGTTAAATTTTATAGTACTTTAAAATCTGCTTCCCAGAAATTAGATGACTAACATGAAAATGATATATCGTTAGAAAAATCCTTCATTTTTGTCTCTTTTTCAACTGGTAACCCTTCCCAATCTTTTAAAGTTACAGAGTTGTAACTTATTCGTACATGTATGATAGGCATTTTTAGTAACAAAATAAACTAGTAAGTTACATGGCTTATAATAAAAATTTTTTATTAATAAAAAATAAAACTCGGGTCCCCAGGTCAATTTTAAATTTTAATGTTACATGAACCGAAAATATTAGTTTGCGTGGCCTTAGAAATAAATTTTCTTTCAAATGTAATAAAAAAAGGATGTGTAATAAATGTAAATGTCTTACTTTTTCAAATATATATATACACTACCTAGACAAAAGTAGCGGACACCAAATCTTGTTTAATTTCTCAAAAACGTACATAATAACCCAGCTTGAAATTTTTGCACGTGATTGTTTATACCTTGCACATGCTATGACATAAATATTATTTCATATATAAATAAATTTAAAACGTGATCACAAAAACAAGTTTTAAACCAGTTTTTACTATGTATGATTTAACTGAATCTGAACGCAATCAAATTATTGGTTTTTTTAAAGTGGCGCTACAAAATTATATATTGCAAAAAAACTCAAATTATCTAGAACTTCAGTCATTTGAACTATTCAAGCCTATTGTGATGGAAAAAGTCTCAAAACACAGCCACGAAGTGGCTGTCCAAAACTTTTAAATATTGAACACAAAAAAACACTAAAGAAAATTGTTAAAAAAAATAATCGTCAATCAGCTGAGCAAATTAAAAATAAATTTCAAGAGAAAACTAATATGGAAGTCTCTACCAAGACTA